ACACTAATTTTCTTTTGCTGACCACCCAGTAAAATACAAAACAAAAAAAACAGACACTGACTATTATGACATATTATTAAAAACATAGGCAGATGAAGGCTATAATTTGGCCTTTTATATCTTGCCTTTCTACCCCTGGACAACAAAAACAAACAGACTGGTAAATATAAATCAGCAATACTGCTTTTAGGGTGGAAAACACTTACTTTTATCCGCTTGTAGCACAACAACATGTGAAAGACTAAGACCTGCAATCATAGTGTGTGGACTCTGTCGTCAACAATAGCATGTTTTGGCATTCAAATGTACAGTAGATGATAAGGAGTTACTTGGTATGATCTGTTGGAGTGTGCCCTAATATAAGTTCTCATAACATGTAGGATAATCAGGTTGCATTTAGTTTATGTTTGGTTTTAAATGGCAGGCTCAATATGCAACTGGCGGCCCCACCCAAACTACACAATTAAAAGGAGCCTTTGGAAAGTACAGTTCACAGTTGTTGCTGTTCCAGCACCAGATCTTGATTAATGTCTCTCCATGAAACACCAAGGACACAGTTAAAATATTATGTGCTTCTAAGCCGCTCATGGTTTTTTCTATGTGTGTGGCAAACAGACTGGGCTGCTGGAACACTCTCTGTTGTCGGTGCTGACTATAGGCTGTGTGTTATTACTGGGCAGTCATATACACTTGAATGGGCAACGGGCCTATCTACAATAATTCATTGCCGTGAAAACAAATTTATAACAAATAGCACCCTATAATATCGCGGGAACATTAGAACCGAACCCATTAGTAGGTTATGGCTTTCATAGTAAGACTAGAAATTAGAGACTGTTATTCAGCCAAGGCGAATTCCCAGCTGACATTATTACAATTATCCAGAAACTTACGTAAACAATCAGAAGAAAAAACACTCACACGAACTGAGTTGTAAATAGTCTGGCGTGTCGAGTGTTTGTTTAGAAATGGGCTACTTACCCTAAAGGCGGCTTTGAGGACGCGCTCATCGCTGAGACTGCCTCCAACTTGAGATTAGCGGGGCTCGCTCCCAAAATGCGCTGTTACTCAGACTCGGTGGCTAACCATGATGTTGTCACCTGCGAGTTTTAGCATCATACTTACAATAATTTATAGTCGGCAAATTTTCTAGTATAACTCTAACAGGGAAAAACTGTCTATAAGAGTGCACAACAAGTGACAGTGTGCAAAGATGAGTCAGTCTGCTGTGAGCTGAAGCATACCAGCCGCAAACTGTCCCCGGAGGCTAGCAACGACCTAACAACATTAACACTATTGCTCACTATTTTTAAGTTATAGTCTATCCATGCTGAAGATTCTTACTGAGTCATTCGGACTGAGTAACTTGTCATATCCACTTGTTGTAATCTTCGTATCCCTTCGCGAAGTTGTCAAGTCAACTGAACCATTAAAAAGACTACCGGGATGTCCTTCCAAACTAAAGGTTTCCTTTTAAAAACGCTCATTTCAAAGTCTTTCCGTCTTTGTGCGACTCTAATGAGGGATATATATTAGCTCCACAGAAAACATCTACGTTATAACTGTGCTATTTTCCCTACTGTACCTCGCGTGAGGACAGTCTTGTAGCGCTTAAAGAGCATTAACGCTTTTATTTAGAAAGGAATCCCAAGCGATTTCCGTTATCTACATACTCTTACTTTGCCGAGATTCTCTTCAGCCCGCTTTCGTCAGCAGATCTAATGTCAATCATCCTCATCGGGACTTCATTCAGCGCCAACTGGAGAGCGTCGTTACGAATACCGTATAGAAATAGCCTACTACCAAAACACAAAATATAACAACATAGCGTGTGTACAAACAGCAATATGAACTCCAATTAACACACACACACACACACACACACACACACATACACACACACACACACACACACACACATCTATCTATCTATCTATCTATCTATCTATCTATCTATCTATCTATCTATCGTATTATTATTATTGTTATATTTTGTTTGATGTCAGGTCTACAGCCGCCAAAGTCTGAGTCGTAGCTTCTAGGTGATAATACTTTATTTAAATTCTGCAATGACAATTCAAACCTTTTCTCCCAGCATGCTTTGTGCCACGAGAAAGCGTAGACATGTAGTCAAAACTGTCCACCACAAGAGGTCACCATAGACCATACAGTAATCACTCAGCGACTCTACTTTAAACATTATAAAAGTTATAGGTCTTATTAGGTTAAGAGTAGACTTTCTGTGGGTACACTGGCTATACTAAACGGTTTATAAAGATATTTATGTGGAATGTATGATATGAAGCAGAGGAAGAAGAGGAAGTAGTAGAGGAACAAGATGAAAAAGAAAAAGGAAAGTGAAGCTGGACGTGTGCAGGCTAAAACAAAATAACAAACAAACAAACAAACAAACAAACAGTATTTGAACAATAATAACAAGTCCACCTATAGCCACAATAAAAATTCCTCTTTAAGCCTTTAAGCTAAAAGAAAAAAAAAAAGAAAAACTACAGTCCTTTTCTCATGATGTGAATAAGGTGTGTAACCACATGTTATGTGTTGTTTGCCAGATTTGCTTGATAGTTGTTTGGTAATTCTCACTTCTAGACAAACAGGAAACTCTATTGGCACCTCTATTTCTGCACACCTTGTACTTGCAGACTTTAAGAGTGATAATTCATCTGTACACATCTGAAAGCATCACATGAGGAGCTGTGAAGCGTAATTCCTGACTCTACTAATTTGAAGAGCAATCAGTGAGATATCACTAAGTCAGGTGAATACATCAAATAAATATTCACTGTCAGGGTTAATTTAGTTTTAAATCAATTCGATTGTACTCATATAGCACCAAATGGAAACAACAGTTGACTCAAGGCACTTACGATGGTATATAGTGACACTGGCCTGGTGAACTTTTAGACTCATAAGATTTGTCTTATATTAGTTGCAATGGTGATTTAGGTCAAGTTTTCATAAAGCAGTAGAATCACTTCGATTCATGAGAAGGAGTGACAAACATTCAGAAGAAAAGACTACCTATGACAGCTCATAAGCAGCTCATAAGGAAACTGTGTCCAGGTCTGAGTCTTGCACAGCAGGACAAATCCACAACTAATATCATATCAAGACCTAGATGCAGGTCATCCTGTCCAGATTCATTCACAACAGCCTGATTTTTCTCGACACGATCTGCAGTCTTTATTTAAACAGATCATCCCCCCCAAACTACTGAAATAACTCTGTCAAAGCTAAACTATTTCTTAAAACATGCTTGCCTTTACCGTTGAAACTAACGATTGAAAAACTTTTTTTTTCAGTTAAATGTGAAACAATGACTGAATTCTGACTATGGGTGTGAGTGAGCCATTATTTTTCAGTTAAGGCTGACATTAGATCAGATTAAAAATGGTTACAGTGTGGGAAATTCAAGCAGAGTTTCTTTGAAATCCTATTAAGCATTTCTTATCCATTAATAACAAAAATAAAGAAATTCTTGTCTTAAAAAAAGGGAGGCTGCTATATTCCATCAGTAGATTAAAATGTTACTAAATAATTACTCAAACACTGGAATAATCATGAACTGTAGTACAAACTGTTTTTATTTAACTAAAAAACGGACTTGAGGGCAGATCACAGGTCCATCAATGATCTGTCTGATCTGTTTCTCCACATTTTTATCATCAGTTTCTGTCACCCACATATACTTACAGTTATAAAGATTTAATTGTCTTTATAATATGTATCTAAATATAATCATGATTATTAAAAAATTAAACATGTCCTCTGCCCATTGGATTAAAATGGTGTTGCCTTGGTGAATGCTGGGTTCTTTATTTCCCTACTCACCCATGTGCCAGGGTTACTACTCAGAATTGATTCAACTTACTCTGATGAGCTTTTCTTGGAACAGTTTCCTGTTCCAAGAAAAGCTCTGAGTTCAGCAACTGAGAGTTGCTGAACTGAGAGTTGCTGAACTCAGGGTTTATTTTTAAGCTGTTTTAAACTCAAAATTTGATGAACTTGTTTCCTGGAAATAGAGCCCAGAAAGCAAGTTTCCAACATGTTGATATAAATAACCAGGGTAATCCCTCGTGTGTGAGCTCCCCTAATATTGGAGAAGTAGATAGAAGAAGTAGATACAAGTTCATTATGAAAAGAGTGCCTGGTACACTGTGCAAAAATGGTAAATGGTAAATGGCCTGTATTTGTATAGCGCTTTTACTAGTCCCTAAGGACCCCAAAGCGCTTTACACATCCAGTCATCCAGTCATATCACTAAGTCAGGTAGGTGAATACATTTTGACAGTGTTTGAAATATATGCAGTGTGATGTTTTGCATGATTTTGGAAATATGTTTGCACTTTAATGTGTAAAGCTTAAGGGTGTACACATTGCTGTAGGGATTTGAATCCAAAACACTGTCACCTAATTTTTTTTCTATCCTTGTACTACTCTGATTGGAAATTGTTTGCAAAGAACAAAGAACAATGCGAGGATCAGTGTCTCTCCAGAATTTGCTATATAGCAGTTTTTGTTATCTATGACCTTGTCTGCTTTTTCCTTCCTCTTTGTGACGTTGAGTAGAAGGTGGGCAGGGGTTCCTGAAGGGAAGCAGACTTGTTGACACTTATTTAATAATGCTTGGTGGCAATTCTCTCCCCTGCAATCAAGCGTTTGGGAGGAAGTATGTCATCGATCTGTTTGTCTGTCTGTTTGTTAGTTAGTAACAATATACTAGGCATAAATACATTTGAATACACACACAGAATGTTTCACAAAAAACACAGACTGAAATACAGACACAAATTCCCTGTCCTCCAGCCTCTCCTGTTCCCTGTTCTTATTTTCTTTGTCTTTTTTTGTGGCAGTTTTGGATTTTGTGATTATTAAGAACTTTTCTGACCTCAGGGTTACTCCCAGTTTTACTTTATTAGCTTGTATCTCGTGTGTCTTGTCCCAAATTTTACTTCCTGTATGTTATTTCCCTGTGACAGTCCTCCTCCTGATTGCACATGTATTCACTTACAGGCGTGTCTGTCTTTGGTTTTATATGTGGCGTCTGTTGTATTCTTCAGTAACCTCACTTGTGTGCTGCCTGCCTGTTTCTTGGATTCAGTTTGCAATTTTTTTCCAGCATTTGGATTTTGTTTGGACTCTGCATATTTGGATTTTCCAACTTCCAAAATAAAGGTGCGTTTTCTGCGTATTAACATCTCCCTGTTCAGCATCTGGGTCCTGTCATTCCATACAATATGACACGTCCTGACCTTTTATGCCTTTGATCTCACTGTGGAAAGCATTTTTATCTCTTGGACCTATGCTCAGCTTCTTCTTTTTCTTTTTTTAAGCTTAGAGTTAACTTCATTCAGGCTATCGTTCCATTTCTTAAAAACACATCATGACACTGCCCAGATTCCATTAGACAGGGAAAAAACAATTTCACTTCCTCACCGAAAAGAAAACTTTATTCACCTCAATGACTCTATCCATTGCTGCCGATTTTGTCTCGAAGAACACCGCGCTTTAATAGACGTGGAGCTACTACTGCGTAAATACGTTATATAACTGCACAGCACGAGTTGCATGTTTTTAGAGTTTTTCACCACAAGAGGACGATAAAGACCATGCATAAAATAGCAAGAATCGCTCTATAAAGAGTCATAAATATGCACCAGAGACGTACAACGAAACCAAGATCAAGGGAAAAAATATTTTAATATTATTAATATTTTAATAACAATACAAAACAAAAAATCAAAACAAAACGACAATAAAGACATATGAAGAGAGAGATATATATATATGGAAGCTAAAATAGAATAATTTGTAAAAAAAATCTCTAATTTGCCTTTTAATAGTGCAGCCCATTAAATAAATAAATAAATAAATAAAAACTTCATCCATCCATTGGTTCCCGCTTATCCTTTTCAGGGGGGGCGCTGAAGCCTATCCCAGATGTCATAGGGCGAGAGGCAGGGTCCACCCTGGACAGGTCGTCAGTCTGTCGCAGGGCTAAATAAAACCTTTTTAAAATTAATTTTACTTAATTAATTTTTTAAGAGGAAACTCTTAAAGCTAACTCTGGATAGAAGTCTTGAACAAATGCTAATATTTAATGCGTGCACATTTCTTATTCAAAGCTGCAAAATGTGACAGGAAATGTGGCAAACCAAAAGATAACCAGATACTGCAAACCTGTCTGATTAAAACAGATAAATAATTACCTTAACTTTAAGGAACTTTAAAAAGAGTAACATTTTATGAAACTGGAAAACACGAATAGCAACATGCATTTCAAAACGTTAATGACAAACTGTTTGGGCCTTTAAGCAAAAACTAACGGCTGTTTTCTAAAGGTGTGAAAATGTGTGTAATCATATGCTGTGCTGTTCTTGAATTATTTTTGGGTGTCTAGATGGTAAGCTCAGAGTTTAAACTGATAAAGATCTCACCCAAGGACGTACAGGAAACGACATCTGCACTTCTGCTTCAGTACTACTCATTATCAGACTGCAGCATTAAGACTGTTATTTATCTCTCCACATCTAAAGCTATCGTCGCATCAACAACAGAGGGGGAAAAAAACGAGCCTTGACACGTAATTCCTGACTCTACTTGGTTGGATTAGCCATCACTGAGATATCACTATGTCAGGTGAATATATTTTAACATTAATCCCGAATTTGGGATATTTGCAGTATAAACAATTTTTTTGTGTTATAATGTGTAATGGTAAGTCTGTATGCATTGCTTTAAGAATTTAAATTCAAATGCTGTAATACGGCAAATACTTGTTTTTTTCTCTTTCCATATTTGATCTAGATAACATTTTATTTGAGAACACTGTGCTCGAAAAATTGTTTGTAAAAGTGTAAGAAATAAATGCACTGCTGCGATATCTTTGAAGTTCACCTTAATAAACCTTTTATATTTTCTTTGATCTGCAAACATGCATCTGCTGATTGAGAAAATGTAAAAAATATTATTATAAAATGATGCTAATCATATTAAATAATCCATTAATTAAAATGTCCATGTAAGACAAAATGCTAAAATAAAGAAAAAGACCATAATGAAAGGTTAGTGGTTTAAGGTTTATAGGTTTATGGTGGTATTTGTGCTTTTAGCTTAATGTGATCTGGATTAAAATCAGCTACAATGGCGAACTAAAGTTTAAACTCTGTTCACATTCCCACAATTGGAGTACTTGTAATAACCAGCAGGTGGCGCAATAATCTCCGTTATCACTTGACTTAAACCTAATACAACAGAGCTGAACTGATTACTATTGGTATTTTTTTTTTTTTTTTTAGAAATAGAAAAAAAACTCCTTTCAAAAAAACTGACGTGACAGCAACAGTGGTCTTCAACTTACATTGCAACTTTTTTCACCAGTTTTGTTGTTGTTGTTTTTAAATTAAAATGCTTGATAATGTGTGATAATATAACCTAATTTGGATGGTTAATTTTTGTAGTATGTGTGTAAATAATAATAACAAAAAATAAGACTACTACTACTACTAATAAAACAATTATAATAACTCTCTTTACAGAACAGACCACACTGTACAGTTACGAGGACTATGAAAATGGTATAGGCGACTACGCTCCTACCAATTTCAGTGATGTACAGGTCTTCAGCCAAGTGTTTCTATCCACTCTCTATAGTTTGGTTTTTGCCTTGGGCTTCATAGGTAGGTGTGTCTTCTACTATGGGAATGACAGTTGTGTTTACACATTGGAGGGAAAGTGTCAAAGGTATACAATTCTCGACTCTTTTTTTCTGCCAAAGGTAACGGACTAGTGGTGTATGTCGTGGTGAAGTACCGCAATCAGAGCAACCTGACAGACATCTGCCTCTTCAACCTGGCTCTCTCTGACCTCCTCTTCGTCTTCACGCTGCCGTTCTACTCTCACTATGCCAGGGTCGGCCAGTGGACTTTTGGAGACTTCATGTGCCGTTTGTTGTCCGGCTCTCACCAGACTGGCTTCTTCAGCAGCATCTTCTTCATGGTTGTCATGACGCTGGACCGTTATGTAATCATCGTGCACTCTCACAGGGTGGCACGTTATCGTACAATGAGGGCAGCCATCATTCTGACCGTGCTCGTTTGGACGCTGAGCTTGTTTGTATCTCTGCCGGATTTTATCTTCACACAGGAAACAAAGGACGAGTCTCAGAAGTTTGGATGTAACTATCCCGAGGAGAAGAAAGTCTGGAAGCATTACAACCTGTTCACCACAAATGTGCTGGGTCTCGTGATTCCCATGCTGGTGATGGTAGGTTGCTACTCCAGGATCATCCCCACACTGGTAAACATGAGGACCGCAAAGAAGCACCGCATTGTCAAGCTGATCATCTGCATAGTGGTTGCATTCTTCTTGCTCTGGGCTCCATATAACATTTCCCGTTTCTTGAAGTTTCTTCAGGAAAAAGGAAAAATCCTACGTGATCCCATCTGGTACAAAAATGTAAGGCTGTCAGTGGTAGTAACTGAGGCGTTTGCTTACACTCACTGCTGTCTGAATCCCATCATATATGCATTTGTGGGACAGAAGTTTATGAGAAGGGCCTTGAAGCTGCTGAAAAATTTTGTGCCTGGCATCAGGAATCTTCCAGCCAGCTCATTCAGGAGAAGCTCAGTTATTTCCAAGTCCTCTGAAGTCACCTCCACTTATATCATGTAGAAGGTGTAGGGAGGATTGTTTGACATGAATGTTTCACCCTGTTATTACTGCAGACCATATCTTATTCATGTTTCAGTGATTTGTTTTGTTAATTTGGTCACTCCCACTTGCCACATAGCAGTTTTCTTCACCTGTGTCTCACCATGTTGAATTTTCAGTATTGTTTTGACTGTAAGATTTCAGATTTAAAGGCTCATTATTTCTGAAATGATTGTAACCTGCTAGCACTGCTGTCTGCTTTACAGATTGTCAAGTCCTTTCTAAACTATGGAATGAGGTTTTTTTTGCTGATGGTGTAAAATGAAACTATTTTCTTCATGCATGTTTTTATTCAACAGCTATGTAGGATAAACATATCGAAAAAGAAAACAAGGCATAATGGAACATTTTATACTTGTGTGCATAAAGCGTTTCATTCAAATGTATGCAAATACAGTGCTAGGTGTTAAAAGTACATTTTCACGTGTCTTCTGACATAATATTGGGTATTTGACAAATGATAAGGAACAACCTTTCCAGTGTGTATTTTTGTGTCAATTTTGTATACGCATGTACAGTATGCTGTATAGAGTTTTATATATTAGATTTTCTTTTTTTGTTTCAGTGATTATTGCAGGTATTTCAAAGGTTATACTAAATATATATATTATCTTACTTTATTGTACACATTTGTTATGCTTTTTTTGGCTGCTGTTGTTTTTGATTCCTTGGCTTTGCAATTTCTTTACCAGTGAAAGTGATTATATTCTGCAATACTCATCTCTCATCCTGATTTTACATGGTAGTTTCCTTAAGACAGTCACTGATATGTAACTTCTGTCGGTGCTGTGCTTTTGGAAACCGAATTTCCCAGAGGAACCCACCCGAGGGATTAATAAAGTTTTATCTTATCTCTTATCTCTGATATTGCATATTTTGAGTATAATAGTGTGTATTGAGCATGATCTCCTATATTTCCCTTTGTAACTGTAAAGAAAAAATCCTTACATGAAAAGTCATGAAAAAAGAGATTATTAAAAAAAGACAAGATATGACGTGAGACAGTTCCTAATTTATTTATTTGATACTTAACTGTTTTCCACCATAGAACATTAGTGTTGTCTGTTATAGGGGACCATTAGTGGAAGACCAACTAGTATAACAAAGATTTCATCAGCTGTGAGTTATTTTCAACTGAAGTTGAAGTAAAGGTGAGCTGTGTAATTCCTCATGAGCTGAATGCTTTTTGCAGATGTTATATGAGAAGTATATTTGGCAAACAGTCTATTTTTGTAAAATCAAAGTAAGTAAGTTGCAGGGTAAGCAGAAACACCCTAAAAACACAATTCAATATTTTGAAAAGCATTAAAACTCAATATGTAATTCAAATACAAAGAAAAATTACAAAAATTTAAAAATGTAGGTTATTTACTTACTTTGGGTGTTTGCGTGTTGTTGATTTTTTTAATGCTATTTTTAAATTATACATCAGCAAGAGCAACAGAAACAGAAAAATGTAATGCTTATAAAGTAAAACAACCTGGGTGCAAAATGACTGCTAACTATGTATATTATTGACATTCTTTGAAAAAAAGAGTTCAGAAATAATCTTTTCTTCCATGTAAGAGTAAAATAATTTGGGGATTTTGTATTTACATGCACAGTATGTTTTTGAAACATTCAGAAAATATGAATAACAACTATTGTTAAACTCAGCAAAGGTTGTCACTGCACCCCCAAACGCGAGTTTAAACACAAAGAAAAACTTAAGGTGAAGAAGCAGCAAACGTGCAGGAAAATGATGTATGGGTTGTATGGTACTTGAAAGAAAATCTACATTTACTTACTTTTTTCTCCAGTTGTGTTTTTAAGACAAACATTACGTGATAAATTACTTGTCTGGTCTGCACCAGGTGAACTTTGTCTTTAGGAAATCAAATCATTGTAATGTAACAGCATAGGTCAGAAACGATGAGATCGCCTGCAGTGGCTGTTAAACACAGAGATACAACCAGATTTAGCAATCTGAGGCACTGAGGCAGTGCCATAACTGGTCAGTGAGCTGCTAACCAGGATGTCACACACTTATTTCCTGTTGATTCATCTACCGGTAACCCCCCCACCCCCCACCCCTCAGACAGCCATCTCAGAAAATGACCATGTGGTTTGATTATGCGTCACTGAAATTCTACCAAAGAATTCAAACTTTTGAAATGTGCACCACTTTTCTAATTTTCCACCACAAGAGGTGGCAGTAGACCACACATACGTGTTTTCCAAGAATCAATCATCTCTCATAGAGTAAGTGGGTTGTGCAGCAATAAGTATATAGAAACGGGTATGTGGGGTCTATGTCATGGAGATGCACCACAATGACAACAAGAAGAGAAAATGATGACGAGAAAAGGAAGACATCAAGATAGAGATAGAAACACCAGTTTATAGTAATATTGCGTTTGACTCTGAATAGAAGTCTTTGAACAATTACTAATATCAGTCGAGCACATTTCTTAATCAAAGCTGCAACTTGTGATGTGAAATGTAACAAAGCAAAGACCAAAATATTAATTGCAGAAGTTATCACTCGCCCTTTCAGCTGTGAGTGAAATTATGCTGTTAAAATTAAAGATGTATTCATATTGAAAATTATTTGAAAAATAGTGCATTTTCTAAATAAGTTTAAGTAGAAGGAAAACTAAATATGGTGTAAACCTACATGCAAAAATCATGAAGGGTTTTAACCGTTTTTTAAAAGCCAGCATTCAGTTTTAGAGGTGTGAAGGGGTGTAACCACATGCCATTCTGCTCTTTGAATTATTTTTGGCATTCTTGATGTCTAGCAGACATCTAGACAAGATAAAGATCTTACTTACAGGACATACAGGAAGCAACATCTGCTCTTCTGTTTTTTTTTACTGCTCATTATCAGATTGCTAACTATTTGGGTGTTAGTTCATCTCTGCAGAATAAAGGCATCACATCATTAAGAACGAAAAACAAAAAGGGGGGAGCCTTGAAGTGCCATTCCTGACTCTACCTGGCTGGAAGAGCCATCATTGAGATATCACTATGCAAGGTGAATACATTTAATAAGTAATCCATTGGTATCCAAATTGGTACTTTTGCAGTGTAATATTTTAATATTTTCTTTTAAATATATCCATGTTATTATGTTTAATGTCTAAGGCTGTGCGCATTCCTGTAGAGATCTAAAACCAATAATACTGTAAAATATTATCTTTTTATTTCTATTTGATAGTTCTATTTCTATATTCTTCGAAAAGTCTTCACAAAAGTGTACAAAATATGTGTATAACCACAATGTCTGTGAAGGTGACCTTTTGCTGTCATCTACAAACATGTCTGTTGAGTTAGACAATATAATAAAAATAATATTTTAAAATTATGTTGATAATCTTAAATAATCTCATTACATGGATATTTTTGTAAAAATGATTATAACATAAAGAAATGGACGAAATGAAATAATAATTTTCAGTGCCCCAGGGTTCTAATAGTACACATTTAGACCGGGCTTATTGGCTTTTAGCCTCATATCACCTGTTTTTATTGTAGCTGATATGGTTTAAATCATAGACAGTATAAAGGAAGTTTAAATATCGTTTTTCATAAAGCAGAAGCATCCGGTGAAAAGTGACGAACGGTGGCTTGACAGACGTACCTGTAACTACCAGCAGGTGGCAAAATAATCCTCATTATCAACTGACTTTGAGGGCCTAAACATACATAACAAAGGAAAATCATTTTCACAAACAGTAATCAGCACCAGTAACTTTTGAACTTTTTCCTGTGTTTCCATGAAAATGATTGAAACTTCATTATTAACATTTAATGCCGTGAGCACTCAAAGTGTTTGAATGCAGCGTTGTAGACAGGTGCTATATCCATTGTACATTAATATTCATGGTCTGTGTTGAAATACTACTACTATACTACAGCTACTACTACTAATAACAGCTCTGTCTCTCTCTCTCTCTCTCTCTCCCCAGGCGAGAATGCCACAGAAAATGACACATACAATTATACGAGTTACTATGATGAAGGTGTCACACAAGATTATGCTCCTATCAACTTAACTGATATTCAAGATTTCAGTCAAGTGTTTCTTGCCACTCTCTATAGTTTGGTTTTCATCCTGGGCTTCATAGGTAGGTGTGTCCTGTTGTATGTTGGCTGTGAGAACACGTCCTCACTTTCTGGGGACAGAGATAGATTTAGTAAGCTGTTGACTTTAAGGGATTCAGGGGAAAGAGTCTTGTATGTAGGTGTGTAACAGTGATGTAAGAAACACAAAAACAGACATCCTTATTTTACATGTAACAGTGTGACAGATACACTTATCGTGCCTTTTCTCACAAAGGTAACGGACTAGTGGTGTGTGTCCTGGTGAAGCATCGCAATCAGAGCAACCTGACAGACATCTGCCTCTTCAATCTGGCTCTCTCTGACCTCCTCTTCGTCTTCACGCTGCCGTTCTACTCTCACTATGCCAGGGTCGGCCAGTGGACTTTTGGAGACTTCATGTGCCGTTTGTTGTCCGGCTCTCACCAGACTGGCTTCTTCAGCAGCATCTTCTTCATGGTTGTCATGACGCTGGACCGCTACATGATCATCGTGCACGCTCACAGGGTTGCACGTTTTCGCACAATGAGGGCAGCCATCATTCTGACCGTGCTCGTTTGGATGCTGAGCTTGTTTGTCTCTCTGCCGGATTTTATCTCCACACGGGAAATAAAGGAAGAGCCTCAGAAGACTGGATGTAACTATCACAACAAAGTCTGGGAGCGTTACAACCTGTTCACCACAAATGTGCTGGGTCTCGTGATTCCTTTGCTGGTGATGGCAGGTTGCTACTCCAGGATCATCCCCACACTGATGAGCATGAGGACAGCAAAGAGGCACCGCATCGTCAAGTTGATCATCTGTATAGTCGTTGCGTTTTTCTTGCTCTGGACTCCATATAACATTTCTCGTTTCTTGAAGTTTCTTCAGGAAAAGGGGAAAATCCCACGTAATGACACCATGGACAAAAATATAAGGCTGTCAGTGGCAGTAACTGAGGCGTTTGCTTACACTCACTGCTGTCTGAACCCCATCATATATGCTTTTGTGGGAGAGAAGTTTATGAGACGAGCCTTGCAGCTGCTGAAAAAGTTGGTGCCTGGTTACAGCAGAGATTTGTCAGACAGCTCATTCAGGAGGAGCTCAGTTATGTCCAGGGGCTCTGAAATCACCTCCACTTTTAAACTGTAGAAGTTTGAGGGCAGTTGTAACTTGTTTAACATGCAGTTTTCACGTGTTATTACTGCAGAGCATATCTTGTTATTGTTTTTTTGTTCATTTGACCACTTGTATTTGACACATACTGCAGTGTTTTTCACTACAGAGTTTGTGTTTACACCTTTAGATCCTATGATTACAAGGGAATACTTCATTTTTATCATAACATTTCAGATGCAAAGGCTCAAAACTTATCTCCAGTGTTTTTGAGACTATGTAATGCTCGTCCTTCTTCTGCTCAGGCTCAGTGAAACTTGCTGGTGCATTTAACTGAACCTGCTGTTTGCAGCATCCTGTAACAACAAGCTGACACAAACATGCAAAAACAGCATACTGCAACACAAACAAACCAAAGATGGCAATACAGAATGTTCTAGTCTTAGATGAAATAGAAATCCTTCAATCAAATGTATACCAATACGGAGCATTTTCCATATTCACATGTCGTCATTGATAATTGAATCTTATAAAATGATGTGGAGCAAACGTTCCAGTATTGGCAACATTGTATATATGTACAGAATAGAGCTTTACATGCTGGATACATTGTCCTTATTGCTTCAGTGACTTTTACTGTTGTGCCAGACCTTCTTTGAATGAAACCGGTGCATTTTCTTACTTTAATTTACATATTTCTATCTTCAGCCCCATTCTGATGTTTCACTTTTTGCACTTTTTTTGTTTGTTACATCATTTTATGGTTCTTTGCATTTGTAATGACTGAGTCGAGTCAGACACTCCTTTATCTCTTTTGCTGATTTTATATGATAGTTTTCTTAAGACAATAAATGATAATGCAAATCTTCAGCTTACTTCAAATTAAAGTCATAAAGTGGTTTGTCATATTGGAGGAGTCCATTGTTCATTTTGAAAAGCTCTCTTAATTCTCTCTGTTATGGAAATGACAAATTCTGTACACAGTCAGAAAAAAGGATCTGTTAAAAAAGAAGTTCTGTGAGATAGTCCCAAACTAATTCATTAGATAGGTTACTCTTCACCATCACTATAATTTTTCTCGCCCGTGGAAGAGTCCAACTGAACCGTCATCTGAAATCTCGGGCTTTCAATTGAGGCCGCATGTAATGTCTTTTCAAAATGACAGGAGTTGCAGCTTCCACATTATGTCAACAGAGGAGGATACATGATTTTTTTGTTGTTGCTAAAAATCAAATTGATATCTTCACTTTGAGACCCTTAACTTTTCCTTTTAGCAGCACTTCAGAAATTCAGTAATTTTACTCCTTTCCAAAACCAAAATCATATTTGTTGCCCTTTGTAGTGGACAGCAGAAATAACTTTGGCATATTTTCAACCTATAATCATGTTTCAGGAAGTGAAAGTACGGATTTTCCTTAATATTGTGGAAGGAGAGTCAGATTAGAGCTGTCAAGACATTAGGTGGACATTAGAGTACAAAGGTGAAAGCTCAAAAGAGCACATACAGAGATTGTACCATGTATTGCTCTGACTTTTTTAGGCATTACAATTTCTAGAAGGGGAAATAAAAGCATTTTAAGTTGAATTCAAACACACATCAATTTAAGGTTTGATTTCTTTCTTCAGTTACCCTGTTGATTTATTCAGTTAATTATATTTGCTAAAAGTGCATTAAACTGTACCATTTCTGTGTTTACCAGTTCAGTTTAAATTATACTGAAACTGGGTTGAAATCATTTTGTTGTTGGTGCTCATCTCTGAAGGCAGCATTAAAACTGAAATGAACGGAAAATATTCTTCAGCATATTGCTGTTGTCATATTACTGATGACTCAGATAACCTCTGAAAGGATTCAAATGAACTGGTTAGCCAATTCGGTAAGTCAAGACATGTTATTCAAGATTCACCAGCAGCCAACAGGCCCAGGGTCCTCCAGCATCTCCAGGCCCAGGACTCTCCAGCAGATACCAGGCCCGCCACCAGGCCACGGTCAGGCTCCAATAGCCCGAGACCAGGCTTCCTTATTAGCCTGCAGGCGGAACAGAACGAAACTTCAGTAGTACCATAGCCAGTTTTTGCTTAAACGATACCAACTATGGCTGGTAAAAGTGCCTACTAAATGGTAAATGGACTGATTCTTACACAGTGCTTTTCTACTTTCCCAGAACACTCAAAGTGCTTAACATTCTTAACATGCCACATTCATCCATTTACACAAGCACTTTCTTCTATGCTATGTAAGTGCTTTCTACCTAACACTTGCACACATTCATACTCTGATGGATGCATGTTAGAGTAATTTAGGATTAATATCTTGTCCAGGGATATCTGGCATCCACACTGCCAAGGATTGAACCACCAACCTTCCAATCAGCAGATGACTTGGTCTACCTCCTTAGATGTCAGGAGAGCTTTCTAATACCTCTAAACAACAGAAGTTGCTATTGGATATGATGGAACAGATTAAAGAACTGCAAAAACTAAATGAAGAAAAGGATAAAAAAAATAGCCCTCTTGGTTCCCAAGTGGATGATCTAGAGCAGTATACCTGTATGAATGGCTTAATAGTAAGTGGACTGGAGACCAAACACAGAACGTATGCTAGAGCTGTAGTGGCACAGGAAGTCAATGAGCCTACTAAAGCTGACGTCGACTCTTTGGAGCAACAAACTGTCAATTTCTTCAATGGCAAGTGAATAACTATTAATAGTAAAGACACTGAGGTTTGCCATTCTCTGCCTTCAAAAAGTAATAGAGTAAAACCATCTATAATAATAGGCTTTGTGAATAGAAAATCAAAAAGGACACTGTGAGCTGTGAGGAACCAGTGTCTACATAAACGAGCATCTGACAAAGAAAAATGCAGACATAGCATGACAAGCAGGAATACTAAGAAGACTAAAAACGGTGCAATCAACATCTACATCAAACTCAAAGGAACCCCAGAAGAACAAAAAGTTGTGGTCATTAAATTAGTTTCAGATCTGGATAAATATTAGAAATGAACTATGACAGGTTAAATAAAAAATATAATTCTCCATTAGGAATTCTTAACAACCAACTATACATAAGAATCATATAACATGACAAAATATGATGATAATAACTTTTCTTAGTAAAGTGAGAACCAACCTTCCCTATAAATAATCATTGTATATACATGATTTGGGACTAAAACCCTTTTAGTATACTGATCACAGACTATGGGTCTTGGAAAATGATATAGACCCTGAAAATAATTTCTACACCCATAAAGATGATCAACAATGTGAACGTTATACTAATGACCAGTTTAATGATGTAATAAGCTAGTGTGTGGAACACCTGTACAGATGAAGTTAAGAAAAGTCCATCAATACAAAAATTCACACCAATTTTGCTTTTCTAAGATCAGCTCTATAAATTCTCTCTTGTTCACGTATTACTTTTATCTGTTTATTTAATCACTTTTTTTTAGTGTTATTTCAGGTATTCAGGTTATTTTAGTTATAACATTGTGTGTAATATAGTATAGTATGAAAATATCTTAGCTGACAGAAAAAGAAAGGGAGGGGGAAGTAATAATACAAGGACAGTCCAGGGCAAGGTTTGTGAAACATGGAAAACCCCGCCCGCGCGCAGTGTTGAAAGCGCTACGTGGGTGTGTTGGTGAGTGTATAAAGTGCACAGGGTGAGTATGACTGTGTGAAAACTAGGGTGCTATTAAAACTTGTAAAACTTGCAGGGGCAACATCAGAACGAGTGTCCAAGTGTCCATACGTTGCGGTTGCTGTGCTTCGTCATCTAGCTAGCGCTGCAAAAGAGGAGCGAGCATAAAGGGGATAATGTTTTTTAAAATAGCAGTTAATTTCAAATGCAGCACTTTTATCAGCTCAACAAACATCACCAAACACACAAACTGCAGTTTATCTCACAGTGTGTTGCTAGCCTAAGGTCCAGCTGCTGTATTTCACAGGGAGGCAAAAGAAAGACACCTAACGTCACTAATTGATGAAGAAAGATTAAAAAAAGACAGGACAGGGAAGGAGAGGAAGAAGAGAGGTTATATAGGGACTGCTCAGTCTTGTTTGTGAACTAGAAATTTAAGGATTACATTAAAGATCAGATGTTGGGTAAGGCTCCCCTCTACAATGTGGGCAACAGAAATTCTTTTTAATTTTCTTCTTTTTCTTTGCTCATTTTCTGATTCAAACTGAGTGCATTCATTAAAATTTAGTTTTAAACAGAAGTAAAGTTTGTGATCTCAATATTATTTTATTATTACATTAATATAGAACAAGGTTCAGGTAGCATTGCACAAAAACAGCTGGCAGAAACATCATCCAGAGAGCAACTTTTTACTTTCTTCATTTCAGTGACTGTACTTTTTCACTACTTCAACTTCTACTGGAGTATTTTTCAACACTAGTGTCTGTACTTCTACCCAAGTAGAGAATGTCTGTACTTTCCCACCTCTGGGCAGATGTGACACAACCACCCAACTGCTGCAAGGTAGAGCCCCCTCATCGCCAAAAGCCTCAGTGTCTAACTTGCAGTTTATATCTCTATCACTAAGTCTTTATCTCCTTTGCTATCACTAACTCTATCTCTGTCCCTATCTTATCTACGTCTCTATCACAAACAGTATCTCTATTTTTATCTTCATCTCTGTTGTTATCTATATCTGCCATCAGTGAGGTTTACAGAAGAAACAAAACAATTGAGTGGCAGCTCTCTGGGTGAAAAATGTGCTTTTGATGCCAGAGGCAAGCTATCATCATCAATATGAACCAGCAGCTTGTTGAATCTATGCCATGTTGTATTGAAGTAGTTCTGAAAGCAAAACTCAGTCCAGTGATAACAAGGTGTCTTTACTAAAGTGTCCTGAGATATACAGCGGTAATGTATAACAATGGGATCAAGAAGATGAAGGAACAAATAAAGAAAGAAATGATAATAATAATAAGCATTGTGACGCGCTAAAAACTAGCAGTCATCTTGTGAAGGTGTGAATTTGGGTCACCAAAAGCTGTCTTGCACTTTGAAGTATTATCTAGCTGTCTAGATTTTAAGCAGACTCCTGATAAAGATCTCAGTTGAGGACGTACAGGAAGTGAAATCTGCTTTTCTACTGTGCTCCTCATTATAAGACTGCTGACTTTAAGACAGTTAGTTTATCTCTGAACATCTAAAGGGATCACATCAATAAAAAAATCAAAAAAAGAGTTCCTGACTTGACGTGTTTGGAAGATACAACACTGAGATATCACCATGTCAGGTGAATACATTTTAATAGTAATGCAGAATTTAGTATATTTAAAGTGTAATATCTTTCAGAGTTCTTAAAAATATATTTTTAATAATGTGTAACGTTCACAGCTGTACAAGTTGCCGCAGGGATTCAAAACCAAATGCTATAATTGAAATTATATCACAATTAGTTCATGATTGCTATTTCTAAATTTAGTCTACACGTTTGTTTTTTATTTTAGTCTACTGTGTTTGAAGATAATTTTTGAAATTATTCAAAAGATATGCATTGCCACAATGTCTTGTGGTTGACCTTTATATCTACAATCATCTCACCCACAAACATGTATTTTTTTTAAGGTAGACAATAGAGTTGTACAATGATAATTATGTTAAATAATATCACTATGACCAAAACATACTAGCGTGAAAAATAATCATTAACAAACAGGCCAAATTGAATAGTAACGTTTATTACGCCTGCTGAAATGAGCAGGTTTATGATTGTACAAGCTGACGCTGGGTTTATGGGTTTAAAGCCTTTTATGACCTTTCTTCAGAATAGTTACAGG